CAACCTGCAGCTGTGTCCCCTCCCTTGTACTTTCCATGCCCTCTTGAACTATTTATCACCCAAGGAAATTCTGCCTCGGAACAATAAATCTTGCTTGCAAGACTTTGTTCTGGCATGGCCCGCTTGCAGGCCCCCGCCTGTTCTAGGCAGAACGTCCTCTTCTTGTTACCTTCTCATTCCACTTGACCGGCTACACACTGCTAAGTCATTACTAGAACTCAAAGCTTGAGGAAAACAGTATATATATATATATATCTTTGCCATTTAAACCTTTCTGTCAGTCTCCAGTCCTGCATTAGACATTACCCAGATTCTCATCAGAACCGTATGCTCTAATGCCTGTGTTATGCCCAGATTTCAAGACCCCCCAAAGATCCACCAGGGAGCACCAAATCCGATGCAAAAGCAGAGAGTCTTCTATACAAGCTCGCTTGGTCCCCCCCCCCCTCCGCCCCCACCTCCATTACTGGATGCAAGAGAGAGCCCCGAGTCCCAAGAGAACAAAGAATTTATAGGGCTTGGGGTCGAGGGGGGGGCAGGGTGCAGCTAGGGTCTGGTTACACAAAGACAGGGGTGGTGGCTAGCATACTTTTGGCCTTGGGCTAGTTTCCCCCGCTTTCCCATTGGCCGAGATAAGGGCAGGCTGAGTAACTGATACATTCTGCGGCTTTTTCTTGGAAGAGGGGTTAAGGACACAGCTATCAGTCCTGTTCTGTCCTTTCACCTGAATTCCAGTCAAGCCCATGGCCTCCTCAAAGAAAACCTCCGCGTAACCAGACCGCCAATGCCCACTTGATGAACTTCATCATAATTATTGATATTAATTAACTCATCCTAATAAACCAGTCAAGTAGCTAAGAATGCAGAGCTCCATTCTCTCTTGTGCTTCAGTTACATTATGAAAAAGCATAATGCTTTTCCTCGGTTCCTCAGAACATGACTGGGTTTATCCCTAGCTATGTTTCCAGTTTGCAAACTCTAAGACCCATAAATAAATCTTTGTCTTTTATTTCTAGCCAAAGACTTGAGAGTCTTTTTGAGTTCCCTCAACAGCCTGTTGCAGCTCAGAGAGATAAAGTAACTGGGCCCAGAGCACACAGCCACAAAGGGCAGGAGCTGGCATTTGGACCATAGTTTTAACACTATACTCCATATCTTCAGTAATTTGTCGTAATCACCAATGCTGTTTTTATTTTTAACAAAAGTTTACCATGCACTTCAGTTATCCATTTACACCAGTGATCCTGGAGTTAATTATCTGATAGAAATATAAAAGGTATGAGAAAAAAGAGTCTGTATATATGCCCAAGACATCTTAGATTCCCTCTGGTGCTTAACGCCTACCCACTCACACCAGAAATGACATTGAAGGCAAGATATAGTTATCATTTAGAAATATGAGGTAGGTAACCACATCTACCTTTTATTGCCTTCTTGCATGCTCCTTGTTTTGCCAAAAAGGTTTAAAACCAACAAAAACCTTCTGGTATGCCGGCCCAACTTGAAAAGTTTTAATGAATCAATTCCAAAAGACATTCAGAATCGTATCATATCAACCTTGCTTCCACACCCCTCAAAAATTACTTGATCTCTTTATAAACACTGGACTAGAAATGTCACCTGTAGTATCTCATTTAACCTGAAAAGTTGACTCTGAAAAGAAGATTAAACTTCTACATTTTACAGATGAAGAAACTGAGGTTCAGAGTGATCTAGTGTCTTGGCCAAGGCCATAACAGCTAGCAAAGGTCACAGTGGGGCTTCTAAACCTAGTCTCACTTTCCCAAATCTCCAGGCCCTGCTGCCCTACATAGTTTAAGGTAAATTCATACAACGCTCCCCAGAAAATATTATTTTTTAGTCAAATATCCTCAGAAGAGCTGGAGATGTAGCAAATGTAATTGAACTTAAGGTTCTGCTACTTGAAAACCAATTAAATACCTATTTCTCTGTTCTGAGCTACATCAGGCTTATTGATGAGACTGGCAGGTCAGCAGAGTGATAATAATTTTGAGGCGTAATACCAAGAATCTAATTCAGGGGGTGGGGGTGGGGGTGGGGCAAAAACCTGATAATCAAACCTAAATATGTGGGGGGGAGGGGGGGTGTCAGCAGTGAGGCCAACACTTATAAAAATTGTATTAATAGTAATACTTCTGCTATCCTTCCTGTCAATGAGAATGTGACATGTACAAAGTTTTTAAATATTTTTCTTAGGTTAATACAGATCAAGTGAAGACATTAAACCTCTGTGTGGGTTTCACTTCTTTTTGGCACATTTTGTCATATTCAAACACAGAATCTCTGAGACTGTTGCTTGCTCCTGAAAGACTAATAATGCATCAACTGCGACAAGCTCTTTCTTGTTCTGGTTGAAAATTTTCAAAAATCCCCAGGTAGAGCATATTTCTCCCAGGGCTTTTACAAGGTCGCTGCTGTTTTCTAGGGCGCTCATCCCAAACTAAAGAAGGGAGAGTGCAGCTGGGTCCGTGTCAATGCCAGAACGTTCATCTGAATATTTGCATCAGAATTTTAAACTCATCTATTAATTCAACAATCTGTTTTTGAGCAACTGTTTTGTGTAGCGAGCACTGCTCATGGCACGGGGGCTAGAAGCAGGGAAATTAGGGGACCAGGCCTGTCTCCATGGAAGCTTATATTTCCTAGTGAGGAGTAGGAAGGTAAAAAAATAAACAAAGAGAACGAATATCTGCAACGGGTAGAACTATGTCCCCCTGTTACAGGATAGGAGAGGTCCTTGTCTCCCCCGGTAGCTAGTGGGAGTGGAATTCCTGCGATATCCCGAGAAAATGAATTTTCTGACACTTGCACCGGAGAAGGAGTGATTATCATTTGCATGGAATTAAATCCCTGAGTTCTCAAAGTCCTGTTTCCCTTTGCCTCGTCATAGGGGAAGTGAAACTCGGGCTAAAATCAGAGCCAGTATCCAGAGTTTCTGTTCCATGGTAGGGCATGGCGCATACAGCATCAGGCTAATTTAATTCGTGTTCCAGCTGAGTCCCTCAGTCCATTGCCTGAGGGGTCCACATGGCCGTGGGATCCTCATGGCCGTGGGCCACACAGGTGAATGCAAGGAAGCAGGAGCAAAAGAGCCCCATGAGCCAAGAGTCACAAGCCAAGAAGCCAAGAGAGAGGAGCCACAACAAGAGAAGGAACTCCTTTGTTTAGGAGATTATGTATCCCCAATTTTTTTGTTCTTGCGGTGGTCACACCCATTCTGGCCAATGAGCTCTGTTCCCAGGTGTGACTGACAAGTAAGTACTTTCCCTATGCGACCCCAACTTTACTGGGCATGTGTCTATCCCCGCTTTGTCCACTCCCCTTCCCCCAGTGTTTTGCATGGAATAGGCAGGCCTGTGGCTCCCTGGGGAGTGTGAAGTCGCAGCTTCCTGGTGAAGCTGCCCTAATGGCATGCCTATAATGTCTGGCCTTCCCTTTGCTCCTTTCCTATTATTAATAACTAATTACAACAGTTCAAGTCCTAATGCCCAGTGCCTGTCAATGTGACCTTACTTCAAAATAAGATCTTTGCTTATATCATCAAGTTAAGATGAGGTTGTGGGGGTTAAAAATAAATACATTAATACATTTTCTCTCATTTTCTAAGACTTCTAGCTGAGGTATAATCAAATTAACAGAAGCAAATTAACAGAAGAAAATCAAATTTTATTATATGCGCATGGGGAATGCACATATGCATGAAAATTCCAAAGACAGTGAGGCAACATTGCATATAGAAGACATTTTGGACAAAGGAGAAAGGGGGAAGTGGTGTATTAGATTTCAGAAATGAGAATGGATGAGTTACAGATAGTTGAATTGAGGAAGAACAGAAGACACAGGGCAGGAACATCCTTGCTAGGCAAATCAGAAACAATGGAACACACACAGGAGGTATCCAGCTAACAGGCTTCTGCCTGAAGCCCTTTTGTTCACCATATTTAATTCAAATTAGGCTAAGGTCACATTCTAAGATATCCTCCCTGAAGCAAGTTTCTCTGTTTGAATCTCTTGGGCAGGAAACATGTTTTCTGAGTCTTTTATTTCTTAATAAACAGCTGAAAATCAATATCTCAAAAAGGCAGCTTCAGGACACCAAAACTTTGGGTCTCTTCAAGGTCATGCTGGGTTAGGATGGGCCCTAAACTCAATGATTGGTGTCCTTATAAGAGGAGGGAAATTTGGACACAGTCACATGTGAGAAGGCCATATGAAGATAGAGGCGGAAACTGAGGCGATGCGGCTACAAGCCAAGGAAAGTCATGGATCGCTTGCAACCACCAGTAGCAAGAAGAGGCAAGGCAGGCTCCACTCTAGAGCCTTCAGAGGGAACATTGCCCTGCCAACACCTTGATTTCAGACCTCTGGCCTCCACAACTGTGAGAGAATACATTTCCGTTGTTTACACCACCCAGTTTGTGCTGCTTCCCTACAGCAGCCCTAGGAAATGAGTACAGCATCTAATATGATATCAGAGAGTGATACATGGTATAAAGAAAAACAAAGCAAGATGGGAGGATGGAGAGTGACTGGGAAGGAAAGAGCTAGCTTACATAATGCAGTCAAGGGGAGGTGACATTACACAAGGACAAGACTGTCAAATCAGTCCCACGAGATCCAGAGGTTCTCATCAGCTCTGGGTACCACGACAAAATACCACAGACTGGGTGGCTTAAAAACAACACACTTGCCCCAACCGGTTTGGCTCAGTGGATAGAGCATCGGCCTGCAGACTGAAGGGTCCCAGGTTCGATTCTGGCCAAGGGCACATGCCGGGTTGTGGGCTCGATCCTCAGCAGGAGGAGGCCGATCAATGATTCTCTCTCATCATTGATGTTTCTATCTCTCTCTCCCTCTCCCTTCCTCTCTGAAATCAATAAAGGATAATATATATATATATATATATATATATATTTATATATATATATATATATTTTTTTTTTTTTTCCCCATGACCATTGTTTATTATAAAGGTGAACCCAGATGAGCGAGCACGGGCACCAGGACCACCAAACTTTTTGGATTCACAGTGACAAGGATCAGCTACCAGCAGGGTCCGGTCATACTGGATAAGGATGTCTTTGCTCTCCTTCTTGGAAGCTTTATCCACATATTTCTGGTAATAGGCCACCAGGGCTTTGGAAATGGACTGACGAATTGCATACATCTGGGCCACATGACCACCACCCTTCACACAGACTCGGATGTCCACGCCAGCAAATCGCTCCTTCCCAAGAAGCAGAACAGGTTCCAGCAACTTGTATTGAAGCATCCGCGGCTCGGTCATCTCCAGGGGCCGTCCGTTCACCTTTATGAGACCGTTGCCACGTTTGCAGTGCGCCACGGCTATGGCCGTCTTCTTGCATCCGAAGACCTGCACAGACTGCAGAGGACCCTTGGACGGCATGACTGCAGGCGTGCACCAGAGATCCTCACCGCGCAGCGCCGACACCAAAAAAGCAAGAAATATATTTTTAAAAAAACACACTTCGGATATACTGCGGCGGCGGCGGGCGAGGGACGGCCATATTTGCCGGTGCGGCCCGACCGGCGACAACAAAAAGTGCGCGGGAGCTCGGCGGGCGCACGGACGGGCGCACGGACGCCGGGCCCGCCTCGCCGCCGCCCGGCCTCGCCGCCGCCGCCGCCGCCGCCGCCGCCGCCGCCGCCTCGCGGGCCGGGCCCCCGCTGCGCCCCGCCGCCCGGGGGGATGTCTTACAAACCGAACTTGACCGCGCACATGCCCGCCGCCTCCCTCAACGCCGCTGGGAGCGTCCACCCGCCTTCCACCAGCATGGCGACGTCCTCCCAGTACCGCCAGCTGCTGAGTGACTACGGACCGCCATCTCTAGGCTACACGCAGGGAACAGGGAACAGCCAGGTGCCCCAGAGCAAATATGCTGAGCTGCTGGCCATCATTGAAGAGCTGGGGAAGGAGATCCGGCCCACGTACGCGGGCAGCAAGAGCGCGATGGAGAGACTGAAACGAGGCATCATCCACGCGAGAGGGCTGGTTCGGGAGTGCTTGGCTGAGACGGAGCGGAACGCCAGGTCCTAGCCTCCGAGTCAGTGCGAATGCTTTCCCTCTTCTTCCCAGAAGTGACAGCTCATGCCCCCTATACAGATGAAACTTGGTTTCAAAATGGTAACAGCTTGGTTTGTCCTCCCTGTGCCCCTCCTGGGGTTCGTCAGGCTCCGAACCTCCCGTCACTGAGATGGAGATTTTCGCAGTTATTAGGTTTACATGTTAGTTAGGAACTACCCAGGGCGTTTTGTGTTTTTTTAAGCATTGATTTACATGATGCACGTCAGTTACCTATCACCGCAAACCACAAACCGTAGTTGGCCTCCCAGATACCGGTGTTTCTCTTCTGGATGCATTTCTGTTACGTGGTTCTTTGTTTCTCTTCTGAGCTGATCCAGCTCTGAGGGTTTGTTTCAGCGAGTCCTGCGGCAGCCCTTTAGTAGCCAGCGCGTTCGCCACACACTATAAGTTCTGCTCAGTGTAACTTTTTTTTTTTTTTGCTTAAGCATTTGCATGACTATTAGTACTTTGAAATCCATCTTTAAAATGCACAAGTTATAAATACAGAAGAAAGAGCAACTTACCGAACCTCAACCTCCAACCTCGCCTGACAAGGACCCCTGAAATTTTCCCTAAGGATGTATGTAGATTTCAGTTCCGCCTTTCCCATCAGTGGATCCAAACATCTGGAAGAAAGTGACTAATACTGTTTGCATCTTTGTATGTATTTATTACTTGATGTAATAAAGCTTATTTTCATTAAAAAAATAAATAAATAAAAAAAAATAAAAAACACACTTCCTCACATTTCTGAAAGATGGGAAGTCCAAGATCAAGGTGCCAGAGAGGCGGGTGTCATGCTGAGGCCTCTTCTTTTGGTGTGTAGGAGGCCACCATCTCACTCTGTGTTCATATGACTTCTTCTTTATACGTGTGTGTAACCGAAATTACTTTGCTACTCCAAATACAGCCACACTGGGGTTAGGTCTTCAACATATGATTTAGGGGTACACATACATTTGATCCATAACAAACTCTTACCCAAAAGTTGCCAGTGTAACTTCTCATGCTTTTCTTTGTGCATTAGACAAATGCTGGCCCAGATGTCCATGCATGGCCTCTAAGTGATACAGGCAGGACTCTTTCAGTGATACGACTTTTCCATCCTATATAATAAAGAGGTAAAATGCAAACTGACCGTCATGCCCTTGCACAAGATGGCTGCCCCCATGTGGTCAAAAGATAGCCTCCCCCATGTGGTCACAAGATGGCCGTCAGGGGAGGGCAGTTGTGAGCAATCAGGCCAGCATGGGAGGGCAGTTGGGGGGACCACGCCTGCAGGGGAGAACAGTTAGGGGTGACCAGGCCGGCAGGGGAGGGCAGTTGGGGACGATCCGGCCGGCAGGGGAGCAGTTAGGCATCAATCAGGCTGGCAGGGGAGTGGCTAGGGGGTGACCAGGCTGGCAGACAGAAGCGGTTAGGGGCAATCAGGCCGGCAGGCAGGCAAGCAGTTGGGAGCCAGCAGTCCCAGATTGTGAGAGGAATGTCCCCTGAGGGGTCCCAGATTGGAGAGGGTGCAGGCTGGGCTGAGACACACCCCCTCCTTCAGTGCACAAATTTCATGCACCAGGCCTCTAGTTACTTCAATAATTACTCAGTGAAACGATTGGGGTTGGACCAGGGTCACACAGAACCGGCTTAAGGCTCAGTGTTGTCAAAAAGGTATTTATTGCCAAAGCCAGTTTGGCTCAGTGGATGTAGCGTCAGCCTGCGGACTGAAAGGTCCCAGGTTCAATTCCGGTCAAGGGCATGTACCTGGGTTGTGGGCACATCCCCAGTGGGAGATGTGCAGGAGGCAGCTGATCGATGTTTCTCTCTCATCAATGTTTCTAACTCTCTATCTCTCTCCCTTCTTCTCTGTAAAAAAACAATAAAGTATATATTTTTTTTAAACTTTGCAAAAAAAAGGTATTTATTCAAGGCACCTGGGTGCAGGTGGACTGAGATCAAAAAAGAAATCAGTGGTGAATGGGGAGGGAGCAGGCTTTTTATGCGAGTAAGGGAAGCTTGCAGCGGGCTTTAGGCTGACACACGTATCAGGACCATGCCCCCTGGTTGTAGATTTATGGCCTTGCCCTTTGTCCTTCTGCTGGCGCCAGACGTCCTTCTTCCTGGGGGCTGTGCAGGAGTTACGATCTTCAGAGATTCTGTAAAATAACCACTCAAAGGGAGCATGTTTGTACAAGGCTTAGGCTTGCAGAATGAGCTTTCTTTTGTTAGCCCCTGCTGAGTTAGAGCCCTGTTTGTTGATTAACCCTTTCACCCAGCAGGCACTGCCACTTCCCATGATTCCATTAATTCCAAGATTGTTTATCATCAGCAAGCTCAAACAACTAGGAATAGCCTGCTAAAAGCATACCATGCCATGAATAAGGGCCAGGGCTGGCTACGTAATGCCAGGTCCAGTGCAAAATGAAAATGAGGGACTGTTTGTTCAAAAGTTATAAGAATTTCAAGATGGTGACTGCAGAGCATGAAACCAAGTACAGGGGGCCCTTGGAAGCACAGGACCCTGTGTGACTACGAAGGCCTCTCCCTTATCTTTCTGTGGTGAACACCATCAGGAGCACCAGTGAGCATGTTTTCTTTCATGGTCTTCTCTTCCCTGGCTTCCCCAGGGTAAGGAGGGTAGAGACCGAAGAGCTATAACCATTCATTCCCAGAAGCCTTCTTGGATGAGGAGACATTGGACCTCCCTCTGAGAAGGAGGAAGGAAGTGACAGAAAATGAGATCAGAGCTATGGCTGGGCAGATCCCCAGGGCCTGGCAGACCAGTGGACAGATTTGGTTCTATTTCCATTGTAACAAGACCTTACCGACAGGCTTTAAGCAAGGAAGGCACATAATATGACTACTTTTCTGAATGGCACTCAGCTATTGTTGTGAATAATAAACAAAAAAAAGACATCCCTTGTTACCCTGAAAGTAACATAATCATGGGAGAAATGGCCAGAAATGCAACTCAGATCTAACACAGCAGGTGACAAAATTGTTTTATGTTAATGGTCTGACTTTTGAATTATACTTTTACTTCCATGATTATTTATTTAATGTCTATCTACCCTAGTAACTGGTTAGCTCTATGAAGAAGGAATTACCTTGCTGGTAACTGTCTCTCTAGTGCCTAGCACTGTGTCTGGTACATACTACCATTCAGTAAGTATTTGTTGACTCAATTCATTATTTTATTTATTTATTTTTATATATTTTCTTACTTATTTCAGAGAGGAAGGGAGAGGGAGAGAGAGACAGAAACATCAATGATGACAGAGAATCATTGATCAGCTGCCTCCTGCCCACCCCATACTGGGGATCAAGCCTACAACCTGGGCATGTGCCCTTGACCAGAATTGAACCTGGGACCCTTCGGTCCACAGGTGGACATTCTATCCACTGAGCCAAACCAGATAGGGTTGAATTTGTTCTTTTAAAGGCAAATGTTTTTGTTGTTGTTTTCTTTTTGTTGTTGTTGTTAATTGTGATAAAATATACATAACATAAAATTTATCATTTTAACCACTTTTTAGTGTACAGTTCAGTCGCATTAAATACATTCACACTGTTGTGCAGCCATTACCACTATTTATCTCTAAAACTTTTCATCATCCTAACCTGAAAACTCTGTACCCGTTAAGCAATAAATCCCAGTATCCCCTCCTTCCCAGCCCCTGGCAATTATTGTTCTATTCTCCGTCTTTATGAATTTGACTGCAAGTGGAATCATACAGTGTTTGTCCTCTGGTTTATTCCACTCAGCATAATGTCTTTAGAGTTCATCCATATTGTAGCATGTGTCAGAATTTTCTTCCATTTTAAGGCTGGATAATATTCTATTGTAGGGATAGACCACCTTCCATTTATCCATTCAACCATCAATGGACAGTTAGATTGTTCCCACCATTTGGTGATTATGATTAATGCTATGGACATAGATGTAGAAATATCTGTTTGAGTCATTGCCTTTGATTCTTTTGTGCATTCTTGAATTAACCTTTATATTTTTAAAAAATTAAAAACCTTAGAAAAATTGCAAAATATCACAATAAACTCTCATACACTGAATGGTTGTACATGAAGACAAGGAAGACGTTTATGTTCTTGTGCAATATTTAAATAAGAATGGTAGCCTAATGGGGGCAGCATGACTTTGGGGAATTATAATTTCTCTAAGCCTTACTTTTATGGACTACCAAATGGGAATAACTGTAGGACCTAATTTACAAGATCATTGAGAGAACTGAGATGGTGTAGGTGCTGTGCTTATCACAGTCCCCAATACATGTTAGCTATTCTTATTACTAATAATAATTAAAGAAGTGTTTTGTCAAATAAGCTCAAAAGAAGTCAGAAGGCTTTGGCTAGAGATGAATGACAAATATTTATTCAAGTATCTTAGGGTTTGCAAACCAGAAACACAATAAGGCCATAACCACAGTGTTCCAAACAAGAAAGAAAGCCTTGAGAGTTTTATAGTGAAAAGTGCATTCTTGAGAAGAATCAGCCCTACATTTTTAGCCTCTGGATTGGTCCGAGATGGTAATCTTCCAGGTGCCCAGTGGTCTGGATAACGGAATATTCTTTCCTGAGTTGTTCAGATGGTTATCTACAGAGTTCATGTGCATCAAGGCACTGAGGCACAGCTGAAAAGTTCAAAAGTTAAAGTTCCCAGGCCAAAGCAAGAAAGAATTGGAAAAATGGTAACATTCTAAGGCCACAAGTGGCACTTTGGGATTAAAACACAGGTTTAGGTGGTAGGAGGAGGGTATGGAGACCTGAATGATTTCCTTTGGGTCTTTCAACACATGCTTGGCATTTTACCAAGAAGGAGCTTTATTCTTTCATAAACTTTAGTGTTTTTAAAACATATCTTGCCAAAACCGGTTTGGCTTGGTGGATAGAGCGTCGGCCTGCGGACTGAAAGGTCCCAGGTTCGATTCCGGTTAAGGGGTGTACCTTGGTTGCGGGCACATCCCCGGTGGGAGGTGTGCAGGAGGCAGCTGATTGATGTTTCTCTCTCATCGATGTTTCTGACTCTCTATCCCTCTCCCTTCCTCTCTGTTAAAAAATCAATAAAATATATTAAAAAAAAAACATATCTTGGTATGGAATTTGGATAGTCAAGTAGGACAAAAATAACACATTTACAGGACTGAGGTGCTAAATATGGCATATTTTCCCTTTAGAACATGAGAATGATCAAAATCAGCAAGCATCAATTCCCTCCTTCTTAACAGCAAGCA